GGTGGTCGGGTGTTGAGCTTCAAGCGGGATCATCATAAGCTCTTCGCGCATCATGGCTACGTCTATTGCATGCTTCTAGTCAAAGGCCTGGTCGAGAGCGCTCCTTCCGAGGAGGTCCTTTTGACTGGTGCGGGCGACGGTGTGGTGAAGTTGTGGCGCCTGGGTCAGGATCCTGGCGCAGTTCCATCCCAAATCGCCAAGCTACAGAACGGAGATGCTGTGTTGAGTGTTGCCGTTGAAGGATCACTACTCTACTGTGGTTTAGCTGGGGGTGCCCTTAACATTTGGAATCTGGACTCCCAGCAGCTTGTTAAGCGGATCACCAGACATACTGGGGATCTGTGGGCTGTGCACGTCATCCAGGGTGTCGCTATTTGTGGCGACTCTAGTGGAACGGTCAAGGTATGTACTGATTTAGATTTCTGTTGCCTTCGAATCGACTTCCGCTGACCATGGGTAGAAATTCAACTCCCGGTTCGAAGAGGTCGGTGGCTGGGTTGCTCATGAGGGCACCATGCTCGCCTCAGCTGTCGGACGGTTCAAGGATCGCCAGATCTATGCCACTGGAGGAAATGACAACTCAGTAGGAATCTGGGATTTGACTGAATTCTTTATGACCCAGGAAGAGCTGCCTCCGATCAGCAACGGTACGTCCAATGCAGGCTCTTCGTTCGAACACTTGCTAAATTCAACCCAGATGAAATGGTCAACAGTCTTGCGAAGTTCGTGTCTTTCAAGACCGTCTCAGCAAGTCCCAAATTCGCTGGCGAATGTAACCAGGGTGCTGCTTTCCTTCGGCGGCACTGCAACTACCTCGGTGCCAAGACGAAACTCCTGACTACCGGCCAGGACACCAATCCCATTGTTTTTGCTAGATTTAACGCTACCTCGCCTGAAAAGGTGGACAAGACTATCCTCTTTTATGGTCACTATGACGTTGTGGGTGCAGAGACGAACCGAGCCAAGTGGAGGACAGATCCTTATCAGCTCACTTCCATTAACGGATTCTTGTACGGCCGTGGTGTCTCTGATAACAAGGGACCCATTCTGGCATCACTGTATGCCGCAGCCGATCTCGCCCGGACGAAGACCTTGCGATGCAACGTCATTTTCCTCATCGAGGGCGAGGAAGAGTCCGGGTCCCAAGGCTTCCACGAAACAGTCCGCGAGCACAAGACTCAGATCGGATCCGTAGACTGGGTTCTACTAGCGAACAGTTACTGGCTTGACGACTACAACCCGTGCTTAACTTACGGGCTACGCGGTGTCGTGCACGCCAACTTGGTCGTTACAAGCGACCATCCTGATCTTCATAGTGGTATCGACGGCAGTACATTGCTGGATGAACCAGTCAAGGATATTGCCATGCTTCTGTCCACAATCGTTGGACGCAAAGGCACAATCAATCTGCCTGGCTTCCACGATGCTGTCAGGCCTCTCACGGACGCCGAGCAGAAGCGGTTCGAGGCTATCGCTGACGTATTGCTTGTGCAGCACCCAGAGATCCCCGACAGCCAGGCGCTGATCAAGTCGCTAATGCATCGCTGGCGTGAACCTGCCTTGACCGTCCACTCGGTGGAAGTCCCTTCAAGCAAGAGCGCAACGACCATCGCGCGCCGAGCCAAGGCAACCCTATCAATCCGTATCGTACCGGATCAGCACGCCGACGAAGTCGCAGCGGACCTCACTGCCTATGCGCAAGAGCAGTTCGCGCTGCTAGATTCGCAAAACGACCTTACAGTCGAAATCACCGGCAAATCCGACGCCTGGCTCGGAGACCCAGACAACGAAATCTTCGCCACGCTGTCAGAGGCGATCACCGCAGCGTGGTCCCCAGCCCAAGGGGACCCCAAACACCAATACCCGCCCATCCCACAAGCCACAAACACTCGCCCAGCCACGAACCCAAAACCCAGCGCGGGCCCAATCCCCGAACTCCGCCGCAAAGACTCCTCCGACAGTCTGGCCTCGCGGGTTGAGCGGGTAATCACATCGTCAACGACCTCATCAGCGGGCAAAGAAGCCGCGCGCAAACGGTCTACGCAAGCAGCCGCCACTGTGCCGACGTCCTCCACCCTCACACAAGCCACACCGACATCGACTGAAGAGTCACTCCCGTTGCCAATCCGGGCCAAGCCTGATCAGGATGCCACAACCCCCACGAGAAATGGACCAGATGTTGCGTCTGGCGTAGCCAAAGTGAAACCAATGTTCATCCGTGAGGGAGGATCCATCCCGACGATCCGGTTCCTGGAAAAGGAGTTTTCGGCCCCGGCAGCTAACCTGCCTTGTGGGCAGGCGAGTGACAACGCCCACTTGGATAACGAGCGCATGCGGGTGGAGAATTTGTATAAGAGCCGGGAGATCTTCCGGTATGTGTTTGCTAATTTGGTGGACAAGTCTTGAGTTGTCTATCTTTTGGGTCTTTGTAAAATAACTCTCTTTAATTGCATTTGATGTATCCTTTCCCGGGCTCTGACTTTCTAGAATTACATGGGCATTCATTACATCTGGAGTCCATCCAGACCGATAGTCTGTACATAGACTCGCCATAGCCCACGCATTCCAGATTGGCTCCCAATTAACGTTTAGCTCCGTAAAGGGGGAAGATAACGCCCCGAAACGGATCATCTCACCCTTTCCCCTACTCTACTGCTCCATATAGTCTCATACCAATCTGTGCCCCGTATAGAGATCGTATACCCCCGACGCCACTAAGCCGTTAGGCTTTTGAGCTGTTGTACAGGATACACTTTTACCCCGTGTGCTACGTCGGGGACATTTGGATTTCCCAATTCTTGGTTTCACTATCCACAGGTGTCTCGTATAGATACAGCCCCTCACGGAAATATTAATGCTGTCTGGACATTGGCTCATTCCGGGTTTGATGTAGCGGCCAGGATGTTACTAGCCTGGAAGAAACTCGGTTCTAAGCCAAATGGGGGTTTCCACGCATGATGCTGTCTTTGTTTGAGAGGGCACTACGTAGAGCCCCGGCACCCTAGATTCAAGAAGAGCATTGGATAGGTCAATTATGTGTTCGGATCGTGGCCCGGGGAAGTTTAGTATACTTTATGGTTATACTTGGCATGGGAATCGCCGGATGGACTTTCTTTTTGTGCTGGCATGGAGGTTGGAGGTTTGGATATTTCATCATCAAGATACAAGAAGAAGATGCTGGTCACCTTTTGATCAACTTCAGATCAAACCCATCTCTGTTTCCACTTCTCTCTACTCCAAGATGAATCTTCTCCCGTTTCAGAAACTTCTCTCCAGTTTGTCCAGACTTTTTAAGATCTTCGCCAATATGGGGAGTATCTCTCATCAAGTCTACCTGCTGGATCGAGATGAGGCGGAGACTAAACGGTATGTTTTGACGCTGTTGGGTTGTTTTCAGGTCATTTCACTACATCACATCTTTCAAATCATTTTCTGTTTCAAAGACTCAAATCACTTTTGAAAGATACCAAATATCTCATATGGAATATCAAAGATCTAGAGATCTTCCCACCTGCAGGGTCCGACCCGACAGTTCGGTAAACCCGTTTTGGCTTGTGCTAATATTTGATAGTCTCAATAACCAGCATCGCTTTCTCGTCGATCTCTCCAACCTCATTCACCCGTCTATTCCAAGAGATCTTACAGCAGTCGCTGACATAGGTACTGGCACAGGGTATGTTGAAGTTGATTTTCCTGGCAGTTTTATTTTTAAATTTTTTAAAAAAAACTATTACGCAGAAGCTAACCTACAATAGTGTCTGGCTCGAAGATGTCGCCAAAGTCCTCCCCAACAAGTCAGCCTACCTCCACGGCTTCGACATCTCTTCAGCCCAATACCCACGAGGGCACCAGATCCAACGACCTGGCCAAAAGCCAATCCCACTAAGTGTCCACGACGCACTGCATCCATTCCCAGCAGAACACCGCGGCCGATACGACCTGGTGCACATCCGACTCCTAACAGCAGGCCTGAAACAAGCTGATTACACACGGGTGCTCGCAAATGCACGTGCTTTACTAAGTATGTCTTCCCTCATCTCCCCTTCTCTTCTCTCGTCCTCAACCAAGAAACAACTACTCTCAAACTCGAAACCCTAACTAACAACCGTAGAACCAAACGGCTGGATCCAATGGGAAGAAGTCGACCACACGGCATTCTGCACGGATGCGACACCAGAGCTGGCAGCTATAACCCGGCTGCGGGAATGCGTGATCGAGGCCATGCTGAAACTAGGCCTTTGGCCATTCGCTCCACAGCGCGTGTACGATGAGATCTCTGCAAACGGGTTTGCGGATGTTGTCCGTGAGGCTTACACTACTGCTGGGAAGGAGCATATGCGACCTTTTGCGAAGAAATGGGTTGCTGGTGTGATGCGGGCGCTGGTGCCGCCTTCTATGGTTGTTATCGGCCAAGCTGAGGATACCACGCAGGCACGTGGGATTGTTGATGGGTTGGTGCGTGAGTTTGAGGCTCATTGTGAGTCTGCGACGGCGCTGGTTAACTTTAGTGTTACGGTTGGTAGAAGGGTGAATTAATGTCTAGGTTTACGGCTATGGTTTTACTGGGAGGCTCTTTCTTTTTGAATTTGTTTTTGTTGGCGTTGGACCAGCACATACTGTATGTATGTAGCGATTTTACTACTGGAACTGTGCGATTCATTCAAAGACTTTTGTAATGTAAACGCAGGACCTGTGAATTTCCTTTTCGAGTTACATGGTCTACAGTCAAAGGCTATACTTAGAAAAGTCCATTTCACAAGATTAAGCACTTTTTGGTCCTTTCCTGCTGTCTCCCCAACAAACTGAGAAGGGGCAGAAAATATCCATATAACCAAATATCTAAAAGGACTACCTGAGGAGAGTACCAAAAAAGACCACTAAAAAGAGACATAAAAAGTATCGTAGAAGACCTAAGAAGACTATTGAGAAGACTACGGCCGCATAAGCGGCCAATTATTCTTGTCTATAGTCATACCTAATAGGAGACACATAGACCATGTTTAAAAATCATCCAGGAGTCTCATCATCTGATGACTCTGATAGAACCAACTCCCCAGCTGGACGCCTGGAGTATCCAGCCCCATAATGGAGTCATCAGGTATCTGGTGTTGTGTCGCAAGAGAGTTCCCTCTTGGCTGAAAGCCTGACGCTTGGTTCATGGCTTGTTGGCCTTGGTCCTCCGTTGTTCCAGCAGGAGCTCCCGCAGGATTTTGGACCCCACCGAGTGGCCAAGCATCCGATGCCGTGGATAACAAAGGGGAGTGCGAATCAGGACAAACCCAAATAGTGTTACTATTCAGGCACATTTTCATGTCCAGGTCGGTAAATTGACCGCGAATCATATCCCCTGATTGACTTCTTGCCTTAGCCTCGACGTACTTTGCGGCAACGTCATACAGGGCCTTCAAAATGCGCAGTTGCTTACTGCAAGCGGAATAGCGTGGGGATTGGGCGATTGAGTGCGAGCTGTCAACCAATCGTTGTAGGTGATGCAAGTCAGACGAGTCGGATGTCTCAACGATGTTGCAGAACAGGATTAAAAATGGTATGAACGGTGCTAATAAGACGACTTCGTTGACCCATATGCCGAGGCTGGGAGACCACGATGCAGCGTCGGCGAGCATGGCGATGAACACTTCGGTCTCCTTTAGGGTTGCTCTCGCAGCTGAGAGGCATTCTGGACAAGGTGCCAAGCTAGAGCATTTCCCTGACGGAATTCCTCTATAGATGCAGACCAAGATGGAGTACTCAATAGCTCTGTTAGCGTGTATAATAAATTTACACACCTCAGCATGTATCGCATGACTAGTCCATTGGTTTGGCCGTTTCGATTAGCCCGAGTATGGAAGGAAACCGAACGGGAACAGCATACGTATAACTCCACCCTCGCAGCCATTATTCTCTCGAGCTCAGCGGCCAGGGTTCTGGCACGAGACTCTCGGATGGAGACTGGCTGCGCTAACGCATTCGGACTATATGTATTGTCATATACTCGTCCGTAGAGGCTGGCAACGTCGATCCAATCAGGTAACCTGTTATGTAGTAGGGAGCTCATCTTGCGGTCGAGGAGCAGCCGTGGCACCGTGATGTCGTAGTCTCGAATTGTGGAGCATCTACCGAGACGTAACGAGACTGCCTTCTCAACAACATAGAGCGCCCAGAACAGTCGTATCTTCCGCTGTACCTTTTCTGCTGGTTCGGTTGTCATAGCATGGTTGCTGTGCATCCCAAGGGCCTGACTCATGAGCGAAGCCCTAGAAATAAATGTCCACGCCGCAAAGGGCTTGCCACATTGTAGGCAGTAAATAGCCTGTTTGATTTGACACTATGAATCAGAGTTGCCACAAACCAGGATAGCAGAACATTGAGGGATACACATACAGCAATGTACACAAACAGAGTCTATATTGGTAATGATGTGGAAGGGGAGGTTGGATAGGATCGTTTCGAGGCTTTCCCTGCAGATGAGTGCCTGCGCCTCGTACTCCTGCTTGACTATATCATCTTCAACGGCACTCGAGCACTCGGTGAAGAGATAGTAAAGACCATAGTGGACAATTATCAGCTCTGTGTCCGTCACTGGTCCGGGTGAGCAGGCCTTAATGACATATCCGGTGAAACCGCCTAGAGATCCAAACTCGAATGGCCAATAGACCTGATTGGGCGAACGCTCTTCTGAAGAGTTAGTAGAAATGGTTGCAATTTGAGGGACTAGGCCAAGCGTACGAACCGTAAGCGATCCTTAAGCATGCCAAAATTCGGTTCATGGAAGGTATTGGTAGCTCCCTGAAACTAAGGTCTGGAGGAAGCGCCTTCGAGAAAGGATGTGAATCTTCTAAGATCTCATTCTGCTGATTCTGGGCGTTGACCATACTCCGCAGGGCGTCTAGCGCCGAGGTCATTTCGGCAGCGACGTTCGAGTACGGGTCATTCTCCACGACAGCTTGGAGATACCTGGTTGCGAAGATGACATGGGCAAACAACGTGGATTCCAGGCCTCCAGCTTCCTCTAAAGACAGGTCGGGTCTTTTTAAGCTTGTCGTGTTGTCGCTGCTAGCGACTGGCGACTCCTTAGACTGAAGCGAGGAATGCAATGGCGATCCAGCTGAACTCGCAAATCCACTGTTACAGGTTCGCTCGCGACTTAGCTGCCTCATCATCTCGCTGAGCTTGTCAATCTTGTTCGAAATGTGTTCCATTCTACTCTCGCTGTCGATGCCGCAGATCGATGACTTAGTAACTTGATAAGTAGACTAGAGTGGATATATCCAGAGTTGGATGTACGACACAAACTCACTATACATTCGAGATGAGTATTCGTTGCCGCTTTTCCTTGGCTTTCGACCCCAGCTGGTAGGTACATTGCGATCCCGTCTTGATGCACTGCAAACACGGGTTAACGCGATCACACTTCGTCTGTTGAATAAGAAGAAAGTTAGCAGCAATCTACCTATGTTGGAGCTGGGTATAATATCTGCTTCACCGAGCGAACATAGTAGTCACACCTTTCGCTGGCGGCAACGGTCACACTGCCTATAATATCAGCCGGACACCGTGTAAGACCAGATGCAATAGAGCTCGTACAGCCACCTTCTCGGTTTCCGCGGTCTTATTCTCCTCACGACTCCTGCACTTTAAGACTAAGTCCTCTTCTGGCATAAGACCGTAGTTATCATGTTCTTCCCTTGGTGCTCGGCCGGTGGGGCTACTCTCGCTGTCGGCAGGGGTGCATGACATCCTTACTAAGAGGTCTGTAAGGGTCCCCAGAGTGATGTCGGAAGACGGGCTGAAAGTTGAATACTGAGTTTCTCTAAAATGAAGAAAAGACGGAGCCTCCCGAGAATTCTCCGTTTAGGGGGTACTGGACAGAAAATGGTGAAACGACCGAACGTACGTATCTGGACTCCCGGAACGCCAAGACTCCGCAGTCCGTAAACTACCTGACCGGACAGCGGAGACATGGCCTCCGCCCTTCCAACATCCCTCCACTTCTCTGCTATTAGTTTCGGCCTCTCGGTACACATCATTCCCCGATGAGGAATTTATTCATCCTAAGTGGGTTCGTCAATGGATAATCGAGATACTAATCGCGGTAATTCCCGCCATTCGGTATGGAAGGTCAATTTCTTTACCACATTCCACTATTTAACACATCTGGCCCGACAAGTTAGCAAGTCTGCCTCTTCTTTTCCTCATATTCCCTCTTTGCATGGGCAAATCCTCTACTTGCTCTTTGCGAATCCTCAGGTGCTTAGACCTTCTATGGATCCAGTCTCGTCAAACATTAGACGAAAGAACCAGCCATGAAGTACTGTGGCGTCGTTTATGATGTTGGACTGGAGTTCGGGGGCCATGGATTTTCAGTCGAACCCTTTGATCCCGCTCTGGTTGAGTACGACATGCGTACCATCGCCAACGACATGCACGCTAATGCTGTGCGGATCGAGGGGGAGGAGATCCATCGATTAACAACTGCTGCACGGGCTGCTCATTCGATGGGACTCACGGTTTTTTTAAACCCATGGAAGATGAACGAAGGCGTCGACGGGACGTGCATCTATTTGGAAGAGGCCGCGAAGGCGGCGGAACGACTGCGGAACGAGGGTGTCGATGTGGTTTTTGTTGCCAGCTGCGAGTACACAATTTTCAGCAAAGGGGTCTTGCCTGGCGAATCGTTTAATGAGCGTGCAATGTGGCTCGGTGCTCAATATCCTGACGGCCATATGTCGGAAGATGTTCCCCAAGCCCTACGTGAGAAGTCCGTGGAATTAAACAAGGTCTTGCGGTCCTTTGCTAAGGTGATTCGTGCTGAGTTTAATGGGTCGCTGACATACTCGGCTGGCACCTGGGAACTTGTGGATTGGGACATCTTTGACATCGTTGGCGTCGACTACTACCGTCGAGGAGAGACCAAAGAGCAATATGTTGCAGGCCTTGAGCGTCACAGGTTCGGTAAGCCTCTCGTCGTTATGGAGGTTGGTTGCTGTGCCTACGAGGGAGCGTCTGACCGCGGCGACGGCGGCTTCTTACTTCTAAAGAGCACAAATCCAGACGGCAGCGGCGTTTTCGAAGGCGGCGTCATCCCAACCCGGAGCGAGACGGAGCAGGCCAAGTATCTAAACACACAGCTCAGTCTCCTCGCCACTGCGGACGTTCACGCGGTCTTCGTCTATGTGTTTTCATTCCCATGTATGCGAAGAGGGGAAGGCGCAAGCGACCTTGACATGATGTGTTTTTCATTGGTCAAATACTGCCCAGAACGGGACGCGAGGGCGAATGCTATGCCTCCGTGGTCACCTAAGGAATCATTCCACCAGGTCGCTGACTTCTTCCGGTACATGCTGCAGCCGCAGCTTCAGTGTCCTACTACACCTGGACAGGATTAGGACGTCAGCAACGCCTGTGGTAGTCTGTGTACCTGGCGCTCTGTACTGCGGTCATTCATTTTCGGCGTTAATTCCACTGGTCCCCAGTCCTCAGATACTATGTATAAATCAGGCTATAACCTTCAATATAGCCCTTATTCAAGATCAGTATCTATAATATAGTACGTGTATATATCGTAAACATCAGTGACCATTTCTTTGTTGGTTCCCTATAACCATACCAGATGAGCCCGAAGTGCCCCACATTAAAGAGAGAAAATATTTTCGAGTCATCAACTCCAAAAATTGAAATCGCAAACTCCAGATCTACCAGCAATGGCAGAGTCAATGGAAATCCAGGAAGCTCCGCCCAAAGGGCGAAGCAAAGTCCAAGTTACCGCAATTATGGTAGCGCTTTCAGTAAGATACGCTGGACTAAACCCGCATACGTATGTATTCACCTACTAATTCCACTAGTTATCGATGTTTATCGCCGCGCTAGATCAAACGATCATGGCCACAGCGATCCCAACAATCGCCGCGTACTTCCACTCCTCTGCTGGGTATACGTGGATTGGCGGAGCGTATCTTCTCAGCTCCGCCGCCAGCGCATGTATCTGGGCCAAGCTCTCTGATATCTGGGGACGGAAGCCTGTCTTACTTTTGGCTGTTGCTTGGTTTTTCCTCAGCTCGATTGTTTGCGCTGCTTCCACTAGCATGGAGATGTTGATTGCGGGTCGAGCGTTGCAGGGTGTCGCTGGTGGCGGTTTGCTCCAGCTGGTTACGATTATCATTTCGGATTTGTTCAGCGTTAGGTAAGATACTGAACGCCTTTCTCTGTATATACTTGTTATGGAGAGTTTACTGACTCTGCGGTAACAGACACCGCAGTTTATATCTCGGCCTGATGGAGGTCATGTGGGCCTTTGCTGGTGGTGTTGGGCCATTGCTTGGTGGTGCATTCAGTCAGTATGTCACTTGGAGATGGACTTACTGGATCAATCTACCGATCTCAGGGGTGACATTTGTGCTTCTTTTCTTTTTCTTGGATGTGCACAACCCCCAGACGAAAATGATGGATGGCGTCCGTGCCATTGACTGGTTCGGCTGTCTCTCTGTTCTGGGCCTTACTCTCATGCTTCTATTGGGACTGGACTTTGGCGGCGAGACTTTCGCCTGGAAATCACCGCAGGTGATCTGCCTGATTGTCTTTGGATGTCTATGTTCCTTGCTGTTCGTCTACAGCGAGAAGAAACTAGCCAAGTATCCCTTGATGCCTATGGATATTTTCACTCGATTCTCGAACATTGCTACCTTGCTAGTAGCATTTGCACATGGCTTTGTTAGTATCTCCATTTCGTTGGCCATCTTCAACCACTAACAACACCTGTAGGTCTTCATCGCGGGGGAGTACTACATCCCCCTCTACCTACAATCCGTGCACGGCTCCTCACCAATGGGCTCCGGTGTCCTCATCCTCCCGCTTGTGGTGATGGAAGCATTCTCTGGCATATTTACTGGCGCGATCATCCACCGCACAGGTCGATACCTAGAACTCATCTGGATCGGCCTGGTTCTGATGACCATCGGGAACGGGCTGTACATCAACCTCAGCGTGGGATCCTCCGTCGGCAAGATAGTCGGATACCAGATCCTCAGCGGTCTCGGTGCCGGATTCCTCTTCCAAACACCCATCATTGCCATCCAGGCCATGGTTTCCCAGGAGGAGACAGCCACCGCGACGGCAACAATTGGCTTCATTCGCAACATGGCAACTGCGGCCTCGATTGTAATCGGCGGCGTTGTCTTCCAGAATAGCATGGGCCAGAAGCAGTCCAGCTTGTTGGCTTCTGGTATGTCGACCAGCATGGCGTCTCAGATGTCTGGGGATTCGGCTGCTGCGAGTATCGAGTCGATTAAATTCATTACCGATCCGAGGCAGTTGCTTGCTGTTAGGGAGGCTTTTGCTTGGAGTTTGAGGAATATGTGGATTCTTTATACGTGCATGTCTGTTGTTGGTGTCTTCTTTTCGGCTTTTATTCTCAAGACTAAGCTGAATAAGGAGCATGTTGAGACTAAGACGGGACTGAATGTTCAGAAGACGCCAGTTGTTAAGAATTTACATAGCGTATAGATTCTGCACAATATATTTATCATTTTATGTGATCATATCTGTTCGTTATTTCTGTAACTTTTTTATAAGAAGTATGGGCTTTGACATAAATCCGAGAAGAGGGAGGATAACTTGATGAGATGTGGGACGCTAAATCAAGGTTAAAAATGCAGCAGACCTTAGAACTACATATGTACTTGATTTTCTAGGAGTGTTGATGGCCTTCCCTTTCCGTTTTAGTGCTCACCCCTCGCTGCCTTTTGCTCACTGAGTAGATCTGAGCACGCCCTGAGCAGCCTGAGGCGATCACTGAGCACGGGGTGAGCGGGAGACCGAGTGCCCTGAGCGAGTAACCTCAATAAACTGCACCCCAACTAATAATCACCCCCTTGCCCGCTTCTCCACCCGCAGTCCACTCCTGCCTGCCGCGCTCCCCTAAAGCCCAGCACTACCATCAGGTCTCTTTCCCCAGTAGGAAAATGCTGTGGTTACCACTCTGCACCAGCATGGCAAATGCTTTGGTGGGTTTCCTCCGGCGACAGACCACACAAAGCCCAGAAGTTCATGGGAGGAACTCTGGTCATCTCAAGAGTCAAGGGATCCTCGGAACGGGGAACTGCTCTAGCCAATCAAGACATCTCTGACTTTCAATTGTGAATAACTACTGGGTAGAATGACATAGCCAGTGTGTTCCTATCAAAACACGTAATACTGAAGATCAATATTGCCAAGTAAAAGGATTAGGTTCGAAATTTAGGACGCGGCGTTGGTTAGCTGTGGCAATCCTAGCCTGGGGGGTTTGATCTCTACAGTACAGAGGGATGTCAGATTAATTCTGATATGTGTAAATACTACAAGGGGCATCATTCTCTGCTGTCCGAAGCCTTGGCTCAAGCACAGGACAATGCCAGAGCAACATGTAGGCATAGCTGGCATGATGGCCAATACGCAGTACCTGCAAGTGGTCGTAAACCAAAGTTCGCACGGAAGTTGCTGATGTGATATCATGGTTAACACATGGTAGTAGAGAAGAGTCGTAGATCTTAGGAAGCCCATACTGGCTCTGAGGATCCTTACGGGTCTCCGGAGAACGCTATTTAAAGGCTCACTGGCTACATTCGTTAACCAACATCATGAAATAAAGAGACAATATTTTGAGACTATTTAGACTCGCAAAGGGCTCCCCCTTCTGGCAATTACGGCCGGTCACTCCCAAGTGAAGGGAGCTCGATTACTTCCAAGTCCTTCATCAGTCGGACTGTCGAAGGAGCAAAGAAAATTCTTACGGAATACATTGGAAAAATGACTTGCGGGTTCAATGTATTCCACATGGTCGACGCTTCTGGTACCATATTGGGGCCTTTGTTTTGGACGAGCCCTATCTGTTTGTTACTTTAAGTAAGTGCAATCAGTGTTGACGCGGTGAATCTTCTTTTCGTTGGCTTTGCTTATCATCATGGAAATTCCGACGTGAGCGTGGTACGCCTAGCATATTTGTAGCTCTGAGGTCGAGAGTTGTGTCCTAGATGCTTAAATGAAGCATGTGGACTCTTATGTCGTCATTATACCGATTGGCGGGTGAATTCGTGCGCTGACTTGTTGCGTCTAGTGGCAATATACCCTATTTAGGTTTTCCCTGGCGAACCTCAGTTGTACCACTTCACCAGGGCGAACTACGAGCCTCGTCGAGACCAATAGTGGGTGGCATATATGCCTAAGTCCCCTTCCTAGCCGTTCCTTTGTCCGGAGGCTACAAAACATACCTGATGCTTCGGCACATGTCGCACTGCTCCAGGAGTCCTTCTCGATAAGAGCTACCAAAGCAATTCAGAAAGCTAGCGCGCAATCCCCACCGGGGCTAGAAGCAGAGGCTGAACAGCGCCCAAAGACGGAAAGGTAAGCATCCCTTTCTACCCCTACGGAAACGACCAATAGTGGGTCTTAACTTGGCGGATGTCGAACCCATCCCAACCGTCGGCGCTGATCAGAACTATACAGAGCAATAGACAGAGGATACCATTGTGCACAATATGAAGATGCGAATAGTTAGCATCTCGTTCAGACTCAAGGTAGCAACGGCTGATACTGCTAATGTACTCCTGCTAATCCCACCGAAGACGAAGCAGCGAACAGGGAGGCGCTAGTAAGCTGAAGACTCCCGTCATCGCGCGTGGACGATAGGTCCATGGTTCGCACATCTTACGAATGCGAGGGGCCACAGAAGGCTCTATAGTATGCTGCATATTGCAGGCCATACCGTGTGCTATCGGACTACTCTGTCGGCAATTTGGGGTCGTACGACCAGCAGACGCAAAGGACCGGCAACTAGCGCCCGCATACATCTTCTGTTCCTTGTATTTCGCCAAAAGCTTCAGGGTCAAGAGAGGTTCCAATCCGGGTCTACTGTACAGTCCAGAGTGCATCTAGACCCAAAGTAACCCAGCGTCGATGGCCGGAAGGCTTGATCGGACGTCTAGACGTGGTGTCCAGGGTGTCCAGGTCAATCAGGTTCATTGGCCCAGGCACGAAGACTGGGACCAAACGTGGGACATGCGTCTGGCCAGCAGAATCAGAAGTCAGAGGAAACCAGCAATGCAGCCACGTTGGCCCTCTATCCGCGAATCTCGAAGTCACTCTCCGGTAACTGATGGTCACCTCGATCTACAAATCGCCAGTAACACTGAGACCTCGACACTAACCCTTAGCGAACTATTGACCTGTGCGTTGATATCAACTTGGACGCGTGCTCCGATTTGTCTTTCCGAGGCATGTGACTTCTTTGCCAAGAATCCAAGCTATCGTTGCACGTCACCCACCTTTCCTGTACCACCCCTCATAGACCTCGCCATATTGCTTTTCTGGGTACCCATGGGTAACCCGCAAACCCGCCAAGAACCCAAGTCCTGATATATTACGGTAATACATGCGAATAACGGGCGCTTTACTACTTATATATATGTGATAAGTGTATATATTACAGTAATAAAATTTCTTGGCGGGTTTGCGGGTTACCCATGGGTACCCAAAAAGCAATATGGCGAGGTCTAGGTGTAAATATATATTTCCATGGCAAAGTACTAAGGACGGCGAAAACCTACACAATTCCCCCAATACTTTCCTACAGGCAAGATTGATGTCACAAGTAATAGCAAACGCGATAAATATTACTTCATACTACAATATCTCTCAATATTTCATTGACGGACTGGATAGATTGTTAGTATGGTCACGGCTGGAACAAATGTACCTTTTGTTCTGAAAAATTTATTGATAAGCTGCATAAGAGTCACATGACCATCCCCAAGTAGATAATTAAGCGAGAATTATGCTAGTGCGGATATCCGCAATATATCCTCATATCCTCGCGGATGTCCATGGATATCCTCATTGAGGATATAGCATTGACGTAACATCCATCGTCCTCAGATTGCGGATAAAGTATGTGACCTGATATCCAACGGAGAGGATATGCCGCAGTCTAACTCAGACGAGCGTGCGGGACAAGGCTCAATGTCCGCCAGCAATTTGATTACTCGAACTAGTTGACCGCTATATCATTCGCATCTCTCAAAATGTCAGACGGAGGATCACTTTACTATACCATACTGATACTAGGGCGGTGTGGCGTCACGCTTTTTGGCTCAATGGGTATGGACGCAGTTGAACCTTAAGTCTCATTCATGAAGCCTCCTTAGCGTCAACGTTTAGAAATGAGCTTGTCTCTGCGGAGGGGAAACACGACGCAGACTGTGCAATGTCACATTACTGCCTCCGACGCAGGAGTGATTGCTGAGTTGTGTTAGGCTACTGCAACAAGTCACAAAAGCTGGAGGGCAGCCTTCCCTTCGCATTTCAGGTTCTGCAGCACGCCAGAACCTTTTACCCCTCACGTAAACCACCCACTTCAAACGAATGACAAAGTGAGGACGAATTGTACTAGCAGTGGTAACGCTTGGTGGTCACCAAAGGCAATGTAATTATCGAGCGTGAAGAACTACACAAGAACCATTCTAGATACATGAAATGAGTGTCCTAACATCCTTTGGTCCCTCCCTGCATATTGGTATATGATGTGGACTGTAGACTGGCGACCTGTATACCACCCGGAGTCATACGGGTTTTTGATTTGTTGGTGGCTCTTCACCGGATTCTATGCTCAAGGACCGCTCACTAGCTAAACTCCGGCTATCTCTTTCTTGCGGGTCGGCTAGTTGTCGTCGCCTGATGGTGATGCCTGTCGCGGTCGCTTTCAGATAGTTGATTTGACACATGGGCCGTAACAGACGTCTTTAGCGGGACTATGGTGATATAGCCTCCCGGATCCACGCCGAGTGAGCTGCGGTGCTTGTATAGATGCCAGGGTATGCGGCTTGTCCGCATCCATGACTCCGAGAAAAAATCCCAACTTGCTTTGTCGAACTTTCTTCAACAAGCGGGCCACCAGTGTCACCGTCACAAGCGCCCTTCCCCCCTGCAGAGACGCCGGCACAAATCATTGAATCATCGATATTGCGACGGGCTGAATAGTCCTTGGCACAAACCTCATGATCAACAATATTGAGGTAAGAGACAAGAAGGTTGGTGGGATAGATATTCCCACCATAGCTAGTAGTTCCCCAGCCGGTTATAGAGCATTTTGCTCCTATGGCAGGGGTATCGACTTCTGAAGAAGGAAGTTTGACAGCAGATACACTTGCTCCAAATTCGAGATTGTGCTGCAATACAAGAACAGCGATATCATTTTTGAGGGTCTCGTTATCGAAATCAGGATGCTGAATGACCTTGGCCACGTTGACTAATTTTCCTCCCGAGCTGTGCTGCGATGAGCCAGCTCGGACCCTGATACGGCTCGCCTGTAGACCGTCCACGCACTGGGCGGCAGTAAGAACATGGCTCAGGTCGATAATGCTTCCTCCACATCGATGAGAAGAAGTCTGAACCGACACCTGGTATGGAAACTGTTTGAGGGCCGCGGTCGATCCGCCGACAATTCTCTTCTCGGGCTGGGCGGATGCCGAGGTCGCCAGAAGGAGGAGAGACAAACAGAATTTCATAATGAAAGCACAACGAACAGAATGGCTGCCTAGGAACTTGACAGTTTGTGGTGTTTAAATAGCTTGGTGGAACCTTTTGAGTTAAGCTCCAATTCCCAGACCTGTGGATTTGTCGCTGCGAGATCGGCAGAAAGCATCGACGATCATTTCACAGATGAGGATTCGACACCTGCGAAGGGCCCACCCCGAACAAGACCGAGCTTCTTAAATGTGACATCTCCACAGATATTTGCTGGTCATGTCGGTTAAGATAAAGCTGGGTCCTGACATAGCGACATGCTCAGTCAGCCATTATCCCCGCGGACTATCACATTGTCAAAATTGGAATGAATTAGGATTTTGCACCACTTAGGGTATTGAACACGAAAAATCAAGTTGGCCGGGACACACATGCTCGTCACAAGAAAAATTAACTATATAGCGTGAGCTATCGATGAGCATGGACATATACCTAAGTGGAACATTTTGTTGAAAGGTGTATCAATGCCTGGCCAATGAAAGGCGTACTTTGGCCGAGGTGGAGTGCAGAAATCGGATTGATGCCGATCAGTGGAGCTATGCGAAAAAGGCCCGAGATTGGCCGAAGCAATTATTTGATCACTTTGTAAGAGGGAAACGAAATGCCGATTTTGTTATATGTGAAACAAGTTATTGAAGGCTGTTATCTATTTTTTACATACCGCCTGAGATATGCTCTTCATTTTTGTATGGAGTTAAGATCATATGCGCAGAGTGAGTTATTATTGCACTTCTGGACACGAACACCGCAGTCTCGGCACCCATACAGTGTCTGAATGAAGGCCCCACGAGTTGCCATATTATCTGTCCCGTATATTTACTACCACCGCCAAAAGCCAAGTAATACCAGATCAGTAGTCATATTACAGGCGAATTTTTTTTGCGCCAGCCCTTGCATAAATAGCGTTGGCTGAAATTCCAAATCAGCATATTTCTCAGCTCCGCCAACTGCAATCGATGTGCTAGGCCATCGATCTAACATGCAGACAGAGAATATTTTCTGAGCATTCGCTGTTAGTTGACCAGGCTGTTTTCGTTTTCGGCTCTGTTCTCCCCATGTTTTCAACTTTTGCCTGGGTGAGATAATAAGACCATAGTTCTCTGGTTTTGCGTTGCAAGGAAGCCCTTAAAATAGTTACAAAGGGCTGGGTATGTATTCGTCAGCTGATCACCGCTGAAATTCACATTCCTGCTGCAGATATCCGCGTCGGGAAAGAGAATGCGGTTGACACCAAGTCGAGGAACACATCTGGTTGGCTCTCAATTTCTGCGGATATATCTCCCTTGCTTTAAACTGAGAGGTTGCTCCAAACCGAGAGAAATCTTGGCAGCGGGACCTCTAGACCGGAACATGTGTTTAGTAAGTGTCGCATTGGACTGTGATCGCCTACGTGATAGCATTCATTGCCGCATTTATTGCTGTCGTCACGGTCTGGTCGAGTTCCCATTGGCAGCCAGTCGCCATCACGCCCTCAGCGGTAAGCCAACAAGAGAAATGCTAAGGCCATGCTGACGACGACGGACAGGTGTCATCTCTCTTGATCATTGGGGCGTCTGTGACAGTCACAATCGTGCATCAACTGCTCACGTGGGGCATCAACAGTACGTTGGAGCAAGCGGGCATCTCTTCCAGTCTTGAACCACGGATGCTGGCCACATCATGGCTCGCCGTGGCGTTCTCAGTTAGTTCCAGTTTGTTCTGAATTGTGGAAAGATCCTGTTTTTGCTTTCTCTGAGGGTGCAAATTTTGGCAATCCAGGGCGGTATGAAGGGCGACGACTGCATCTTCGATCCTTCCTTGAAATCATAGAGAAGGCCGCATCGGAAGCTGCATACGCCAAAGCCCGATTATTCATCACATATCCTACTGTGCTTGTTCGGTTTTAGTGCCCCAAATCTTGGTCTTAACCTCTGTCCGTGCAAGTGGTCATGGTTTCCTGCCGACATTTGTGTCCGAGAGGCAATGATCAGTTCGTTTATTCCCGATCACAATGCGCAAGTATATTTTTGCAATAGAGCAATATAAGTGTGTCACCAAGTCTTCCTCCTTTCGCCCTAGAGTTATGCTATCCCCCATCCTAGGCAAAGAGTGATGTTCTTGTCATGAGAGTACTGTAGCAGAGTTACATATGGGGGCAATTGTAATGCGTCCTTCACAGTCTTTGTATTGTGTATTCTAGCTCTAAAGGGCATTCTACCTACAAGCCACCATGCCAAGTAACAGATCCACGCAAATCGTAGATGCCACAGTAAATCACCAGGACCCGCCCGAGCCCCAGTGCCAAAGGAACCAAAGAAAGGATAGCAGAACGACGCCCCCTACCATTGCAGACATACCTAGGTTGTGTGCCCCTGCTCCTGTGAATAAAGTCGAGTTTGACCGGCGATGTTCCGGATGACGAGGACGCGGGCGAGTCGGTTGGTGTTGTCATTGCGCGGACCGAAGTGCTCCTGTCTTTGACACCGACACCGGTAGGTGAAATCACTGCACTTGATTTGGCTTGAACGGACGCCGTGACGCTGGGGGTAAGTGGATGGAACTGCTCTATGCGCGCTCATACTGCTTTGGGCGAGTGGGGTTGACTCATAGGCATTATATGATGCCAGTATGATTACAGCACCGTCCGGCTCAACTCTGGTGGGGACCCTTGAACAGGCTGGAGTTGACTGGGCCACGAAGTCCTCGGAGAAGACAAGGAGAGCCGCAGTGATGCTGGCCATATAGCGAACCAAGACCTGTCCATGTTGAGATAATCTGAGCGGTTCGGTAAGACCTCCCAACGCTCCGCCACCCATATAAATCTGGAATGGCAATCAGCCCTGCACCTCACTTGCGGACCGCAGTGAGAAGTATAGAGAACGATCCATGCGGACCGGCCCAACAAAGCGGCCCTCAAGACTTCCTCCTCAGGGAGCCACCAATGATCGAGACGCTCTTCACCGATCTTGACAGTGATCGTGCGTGGCCGTCGGTGTTCATTTGGGCACGGGTCATGATCTGCTCAACCAGCTCTGGTTGCAATTCACAACCCAAAATCCGCTTTGTTGTTTCTGAATGAAGGTTTGATGAAGGGCCAAGCGGCCTGTGGCTCTGTAGGGATGCACCCAAGCTGTCGATATACGTGTCCAGATTGACAGTTCCTCTCAGGCACAGAACTCGCCAACGACGCCCATGAAAACCTATCCGATTATTGAGTATCTTCTTTGTCGACGTGAAGACTTCGAAATCCACTGAAGAGGTGCGAAGGCATACACGGCGTTTCATTGGCAATCAATCGAATTTCTTGGGAGGGCCGGCAGAGTTGGGAACTTCGCGAATCCATGCCGGGAGTGTGGCCGTGACCTGTCGTCGACCGACCTGGTGGGCATCAGCAATCATTGGTCGTACAGTTAACTGCCGCAGACTTTGATCAGAACAAATCCAATTCAACAGATCGTGACCTGCATCGTCTGCCTGCCTGATTGGCATGGCTTTGACGAATAAAGACAGGTTGTCTCGCGCAAGGATGGCGTTGAAACGCTCCGGCTTTTCTCTGCGACGGTGCAAATAAGAATTCTGTGTAATTACTCGGATACAGCCAGAGATGATAAGAATCCGCGCATCTTCTCGAACAGTATGTACTTTGTTGGCCACCTGCGGTTATGCCAGGGTAGGGATGATACATTCTGGGGAAAACCCCTACATAGTGGATCCATCCGTAGTGTTCGTTCCTACTCCCGAGTCTGCTGGGACGTCGCTTCGTCCATTCCACCGACATTGACGAGACCAGGATTGCTGCCAAGTATCATGTCAGTTGAAAGCGAGCCAATCCGTATCTGAATGCGGATCTGCTCGGGACTGGTAGTCCGCCGGTGCAGAAAGCGGAGATAATTGATTCCCTCATGGACTCCTGTACGCCGCTCATAACGAAATCAATCATTTCCGGAGGCGGAAAAGTGGGAGCACCTGCGTAACGAAGGACTTCCTCTCCCTGCTTCATCCAACGACTGATCGCCCTCGGTGAGCCTGGCAAGAAGTAAACAGTGAGCAGGCGTTGCCAAATTGTAGTTAAGTGTCTCCATTCGGGCAAGGTTGGGCTCTGCGATCGGCCAATCTGCTGGCAAATATAGGAGTAGTATTGTTTATATCTCCTGGCTTCCAAGATAAATTCGACAGTCTCTAGGGCGTTGTTTGCTGACAGGAACTCAACAAAAGACTCCAGTGTGTTGGGAGGGGATGCTGCGTTGTTCAAGACCTCTTCCAGGGCCGGCGGGGTGTAAGATCCCCCAACGCAAGAACCGACCATTTCTTCACTGTGGCAAACAAGGAACCCGGAGAGGGGGGAAGGATCGGGGAGAACGAGACGCCGGAATGACGAACAGGCTGTGTTGGCTTTAAAGGGAGTGGGTGGTAAGCTCTGTGATAACCTCCCATAACAGACCCAAGTTCAGGCGAGCGCCAATGCAGAATCTTGGCCTCGGTCGCGATTGTTAAGAATGGTAATTGTTCGAGGCGATCGCTACCCCACACCGCCTTTATGTCTCTGTCGCTCTCACAGAGTCGAATGATAAACGCATTTGCGAGTCTCACTGTCCTGGTCATCGATGAAGGAGATGACCGCCCCAGCCCTCTGCTCTAGTCCTCTGACTTTGTAGCTCTCCTAGCCACATGTCTAAGTCCTTCAGGCACCTGACCCTTCAGATGTATCATTAGGTCTTTCGTTATCTCCAGTACAGGCTTCAGACCAATAAGGCCCGTGTGCCTTGGAACGTATGACTAGACATTGCTAAGATGCAGGGTAATTCCCCTATAAAGACGACGCTCAACTACTTCATATAGTGCGTGTGGCGTGGAAAGTCCTGGCAACAGACCATACCATACTATATTTGTCTGTGCAGGCTCTTTTCTTCCCAGCTATTGAACCCTCCGTCGCATGCTCATTGTACTAGGTGCCGTATGTGCCCATGCGCTGTCGCGTCGCTGTGGCTCGATATATCTCAAC